AAAAGTTTATGATATAAAATATTAATGCTTGGTAGAGTACATTCATCCTCAAATGTATCTTCCTCAGTTTACCTTAGCTATTCTTGGGCTTTACTGTTCTATACAAATTTGAAGGTTAGCTTGTCACATGTGACTCACTGGCACTCTAATTACCATTGCACAGGAATTTTAATGTAGAGAGAATTAAGCTTTCTATGGTATTGAATCTTCTCATCCAGTTACACACACTAACCATTTATTTAGATCTTTTATGCTATTTAATCTTTTTTATTTTCTACATAAAAAGTTTATCTAAATTTAATGAATTTGGATTATTTCCCAGGATCATTGAAGTTTTGCTATTACCTAAACTGTTTTTTAAGAAACATACTTAGTAGTAATTCGTTGTTACTGATATATATTAGTGCCTTGGACTTTTGTGTTTTGACCTTTTGCCAAACAAATTTGCTGAAATATTTTAATAATTCAAACAGTGAACTCTTTTGACTATTTTACACAAAAACATATCTTTTACAAATAATAAAGGGTTTATTTTCTCTTTTCCAGTCACCGTGTCTCACTTTTTCTCAAGTTATATTAGTTAGGATGTCCTATCCAATGTTGAATTGTGAAAGTTGTGGCAAGATGCTCTTGATAAGGTTAAAACATTTTCTTTTATCCCTACTTGGTCAATAGTTTTTTGTCTGCTTTTTAATAAATTGGTGTTGAGGTTTTTGAATGTCTCTTTTCTATATTTAATACTTTGTTAGCTTGTCAGTAATGTGACAAGATACCTAATATAAACAATTTACAGGAAGAAATTTGGCTCCTGGTTGCAGAAGTTTCAGTCTATGCTGGCTGTTCCTACTCCTTCGTTCAGGAAGTAAAGACTGAGCGAGGAAGCATCTGGGGCCCCAAAATCCCCTCCAAGGGTGCACCTCCTATAACCTTCCTCCCTCCAACTAAGCCCCACCTTCTAATGGTTCCACTACCTCCCAGTGGCACTGCAGGCCGGGGACCTAAACCTTCAACACACAGGACTTTGGGGGACACTCCAGATCCAAGTTGTAACAATGAATTTTCTCTTTTTTCTTTAATATATTAAGCTGCTAGATAATCTAATTTTGACCCATCCTTGCATATGGGGGGAAAAAGAACCTCTTTGGTTACAATAGCTCTTTTAAAAATTAAGTTTGTTGGTACATTTTAGATATACATATTGATTACATTCATCATAGGGGATTTGTACTGTACATGATATAACTTGATTCTTTTTTCTTTCCCATTCCCCTACCCTCTATTCAACTCCTCCTTCCCTCCTATTTACAAAAGCAATGTTTCCACATTTTCCTTGTTTTCTCAGTTTTTTCTTTTCCTTTCCTTCCTTTCCCTCTCTGCCCTCACTTGTTCCCCTCCCCATTTGGACATTTTCTTCCTATTTCACAAGATCTATTATAGATTTTAGTCCTTATTTACACTTTTGTTTCCTCACACCAGAAAACAGTGTGGTATTTACACGTGTGTCCAATTTATCCTCGCAGTTAGGAATGAAAAAGGTGGTATCACAATAGACCCTGCAAAAATCTAGAAGATAATCTGTACTTACTTTGAGAACTTGTATAAGACGGAAAGTGCAGATGAAATGGACAGATTCTTAGAAACATATGAATTACCAAAGCTGAATCAAGAAGATACATATATTCTCAATAAATCAATATCAGTCAGTGAAATTGAAGACATAATTAAAAACCTACCCAAAAGAAAAGCCTTGGCAATGACAGATTCACTGCTGAATTTCACAAGAAATTTAGAGAATACCTAATGCCACTATTTCTCAAACTCTTTAATGAAGTTGAAGGGGAGGCAATACACCCCAGTTCATTTCTGGAAGCAAGCATTACCCTGGTACCAAAACCAGAGAAGGACCAAACCAAAATAGAAATCTACAGGCCAATCTCCCTAATGAACACAGATGCAAAAATCCCCAACAAGACATTTGTAAACAGAATGCTGCAAATCACCAAGACTATACAGCATGACCAAGTAGGATTTTTCCCAGGAATGCAGGGATGGTTCAACATATGGAAATCAATAAATGTAATGCACCATATTAGCAGAGCCAAAGACAAAAAACAGCATGATCATCTCAATAGATGCAGCAAAAGCATTTGACAAAGTGCAACACTCATTCATGATAAAAGAAAACCCTACAGAAAATTGGAATGGAAGGTCTTTACTTCAATCTGATAAAAGCCGTGTATGAGAAACCAACAGCCAGCATCATACTAAGTAGACAAAAACTGAAAGCTTTCACTCTAACATCAGGCATAACATCTTTTAAAATGCATAGCTTGAGTTAATTTGCAAATATTACTTAGGATTTTGCACTTGTGTTTAAAAGTGAAATTAGTCTATGCTGTCCTGATTTCAAGCAGTGCACTTCTGCTTTGCTCAGTGGTTGTTTTATTCCCTTATACTCCTGAGCTGCTCTCTCCACTCTGAAATCTAAGATGAGTCAGCCTCCCCCTCCAAACTCTTTTCAAGTTTTATTTCTGGCACAGAGGTGTTTATTTTGCTTTTCCCATATTTGTTTCAATGATTATCTAGTCAGAGTATGGTGTGCATGGTGTTTCTACTCTGGGACTGACCTTCTCTTGTCACAGGACTGTTTTCCACAGCCATCCAGTTTTATAGACTCAGGGGAAAGCAGCTACCTTCACAGTGCTATGAATAACACCTCTGCGCGTAAGACCATCAGCAAAAAGTAATGGACATATTCCTAATTCTTTTATTTCAGTTGCTGTTGGGCTTTTAGCTGTGCTTCTTGGAGAATGCTATATTCTATGGCAATTCAACAGAAATCATTCACCTTTACAATTCAGAAAAGTATGCTAATCTCTAACACATGTTCTTTTATATTTTGCCTATCATTTCAATCAAGGTCAGAAGTAAAATTATTACTTTAATATGCGTTTGTTCAGCACTTAGTCCCTTCTGGAAGCACATGCTTTGAGAGGAAGCACTCTTTGTTGTTTCTTTGGTTCTTTTAGAAAACCCTGGTTTTGGATTTCAGCTTCTTCAAAGAATATTTTATTGATTAAAGTTGATAGTTGTATAATTTCAACAGACCCCTTCCCATTCATGGAAGATGAAAGAGAAACTAATTTATTTGCATAAAACATAAATTTAGATTTCAGGACATTTTGACTAATTCTACCTATTCTAGAATGTAGAATAGGCACAGTTATGCCTCATATAACATACGTAATCAACTTTACAAAGACCACATTTACTGCAGATATCTTTTTTTGGAATTTTGTTTTACTTTTTATCAGATTTTATTGGTACACTTTAGATATACATAATGATCACATTCATCATAGAGGATCTGTACCTGTACATGATATAATTTAGGTTTTTTTCCAGTTCTCCTCTTCTCCTTTTAATCTGCTGCAGACATTTTGAAATACATTGCAATCTAAGTTTATTTTTTGCTTAAAATACTGAACATATTTTTCCCATGGAATTTTATAAAACATTTATTTCTGTTTATTTCATTTATTTCTGGGCTAATCCATAAATCTTATTCAGACAGTTGTTAGTAGAAGCACATTTATGCAACCACCTATATGTAGCAGTATGTTATTCCTTGTCAAGTAGATTCAGAGCCCTAAATAAGAGCATGTACAATGGTCTTCATTAATTTGCAGATGAAATATTCTAAAGCTGGGCAGTTTTAAAATTCAATTTGACAAAAAAATGGTCTCTCATGCTGTTTCTTATCTGTTGCTATCATGGCTTTATTTCATGTCTTTTCAAGATTAATACATGATGTGTACTTATGTTTTTAATAGTGTTTATTTATTTACAAAAAGCTTAAGGAGCCTTCAAGTTTTACTCACTTATCTTAGAGCAATTGGAATGAATCAAAAGACTCTTGAAGATTTTAAATCTACTGATTTTGAGGAAGTGTTTGTGTACCTTTATCCCCAAAGTATCCACCATAAAGCATGTTTTTTGACATAAAAATATTTTTCTCTCTTCTCTTACATTTTTTATTTTTATCTTTCCTCACCCCCTCTCACCCTTTCTCCCTCTGCTTTTTTTCTTTGTCACATCACTTTCTTCTCCTTCTTTTTCATTTCCCTCTTTCCTTCGTCGCTTCTGAGAAAGGGGTATGTTATGCGATCTTGTTGGAAAAGTACAATCCAGGTTGAATTGGATGTACAGTGTGCTATGCGTTGGTCTCTGGTTTAGACTAGCCAGGAGTCTTAAATATAACCTGTTCCCCTAAAGGGAGAAGATATTCCAATTTCTTTATTTATGGCTACTTTAAAAGTTAGCCAGATGGTATGCCATTACTTTTTTTTCCTGGTAGGGATGAAACACAGAAGCATTTTATTAAACAGTTGTCAAGAAAAGACTTTCACTCACCCACTGAGAAGAGCAGCTAAGTGCATCCCTGTGGAGGGGCCAGTTCTTGATGCATCGCATAGCTGAATGAGTGTGATCACAAACTATATGCAAATAGGGTCTGAATAATGGATTTCTCTGTGGAGTTTTGAAAAGAACCAGACACATAAACAGCTTTATAAATGAAGAGCTAAGGTGATATTTAAAAGAGGCATCCTAGAATCTAGACTGGTCTATTTTTTTCTTTAAATCCCATAATGGAAGGTAAAAGGGCCATGCCCTCTCCCCCTTGTGAATACTGGACATCTCTGAATTTGAATACAAACCTTTTAGTGGGGGGATATGTTTGAAATAAAGAAATACAGGCAAAAAGTGTATTGGAGGAATCTGTGCAAGTTTGTGTGTGGGTGTCTGCATAGATAGCACGCGTGAGCATGCATGCATGTGTGTGTCTGTCAATGTGTGTGCATGCCTGTGAATGCACTTGCGTGTATGTGACTGTGTCTGGTGTGTGTAAGCATGCCTGTGTGTGTGTGTGTTCGAAGTGGGAGAGGCTGCTTCAGCTCAGCCAGTGGCAGAGCAGTTAGAACATCACTAATAGTGGGAAAGGAAGCTGGGAAGAGGCTAGGAAGAGAAACAACCGCACTATTAACAAAAGCTCAGTCTTGTCCCTGAGGACCGACCAGCAGAAGGAAAGGGCGAGCGGTGGCGCTCAGCCAGGGAGCTTGGGCTCCCTGCAAACAGTTGGAGGCATCCTGATCATGTCCTTCTCAGGAGGAGTCCTGAAGCTCGGCGCTGGAGAAGTTTTCAAAGCCACAGCAGCAGCCTGGGAGCAGAGCAGCAACTGGAGTGGAGCGTGTGTGCGCGTGAACTTCGGTTCTAGGGTGGTTTCTTTTTTTTTTTTCCTGATGTTTGGGTTAATGGATTTTTAGTACAAAGAAAACTCAAACTCAGCTGACCTGAAAGACTGGAATTTCAGCTCTCTTTCTTCCCTGGGATATTTTTCCTCCCCCTTCCTCTCTAAGCCCTTTAAACCAGATTACTGGGTCAGTGACTCTTATTCAGCTCGCCAGCTCCAAGGTTTCCAGCTTGTTTGGCTTGGAAAGGAAAACCACTACCTGTAAGTATCTGCTTTATGTGATTCCTCTCATCCTGTGAGTGTTCTGTGAGCTGAATGCCAGGCAGGCTGTTTGCTTGGTGCATTAACGCTGAGTAACAATGCAAGAAGTCTGCAGAGGCGGCTCGCAAAAGTTTAATTCTTGTGTTAACTTACAAGGTGGGCAATTTGTACTGTTTACCAGTCAAACTCCCCAAACAGGGGCTGATGTACATTCCTAATTCTCTTCTGAATGACACGAAGTTAGATTGTTTCTTCTCAACTCGGAGAAATGGCAAAGGGAAGGGATGGAAAAAGGAACCGAACAGATAATATCTTCAGGGTATAAGAGTCTAGACATTTGGAAATGATTTCTGGATACTTTTGCTTTAATTTAGTTATATTCAGATATATTCTTTAAAAGCATGGTTTCTATGTTTTAGGGGTGAGACGCTGGGGAGGCAAAGAAATCCCGCTGTTGTGAAAAAGTTTTTGTCTGATCTCCAGGTTCCCCGCGTTGGTGAGATTTGGCCTAAAGCCTTGGGAGCTGCAGTACGTCATTTCTTTCAGTTTTCATCTAGGTCACTAAAATCATTTTCAAGGCACTTAATTTTAGTTTCTGTTTTTTGTTTTGCTTTACTGATGCATTCCGTCGTGTTGTGCGGTATGAATGACAAAGCTTAAAAAGAGCATTTTCAGGGGTTGGCTGCTATTTCTAGGCTGGAAATCTTGCTGGAGACTTTAACTTGGTCTGCTCTTCAGGTTTCTGCTCTGGATAATGATTATCCTTCTGTGCTCTAGTTACGAAGAGTTGCATCTTAGCCTCACCACCCTCCCTCCACTCTGTGAAAATGCCTGCCCTGTAACTCTGGGAAAGTGCTAACTACAGTTGCTTTTTTTCTCCACCAGGGATTCTCAAAATGAAAGGTGGGTAAGAGCCTCCTGAGAGCTTGGTGAAAAAGCAGATACCTAGCCCCCACCACTAAAGGATTTTATTCCCAAGATGGGGCCAGGCATCTGTCCAGGAGAATCGGATGGAGGTGACACCACACTTAAACATTGTTCTACGTTGTCTTTGGCAGTTAAATTCTTGTCAAGTATTGGTTAACACCAAACCTCATATTTAAATAACAAGACTGACCTTGAGCTGATGTTAAACTTAGTTTACAGATAACATGGTTTTGCATTCTTAGCTGCCAAACCAGGACTTTTTGTCTAATTTTCCTAACAACTGCGTTCTTTTTCCTTGCTTTTTTGGGTTCAGTTCTGCCTTCCTAGTCCCATCAGTGAGAAAAGTAACTGGGCACAGGGACCTAGATACACTGTCACCTTGCTGTCAGGTGTTGGGCTGTTCAGCCTTCTCTTCCTCCCCATGGCTAAGCAATGTTTGTCCTGGACAATTTAAACCCAGGGATCTTCTACTTAATTATCAGCCTACTGGAAATTCTCTGATCCCAGGGCTAGTGCAGCTGAATTTCTTGGAATGGGTCAGGAGAAATCTCATCCCTAAAAACTGAGTTTATATTGGGCCACCAGGGATTGAAGGAACAAGGAATGAAGAAACAGAAATGGTTTCTCCATCACACTGAAAGTCCTCATTGGACAAAATCTGAAAGTCAAAATCCTGCTGCTATCCCGGTCCCCATATTTTATGGCATTTAATATAAAACATGATGTGGATTTTAAACCACTTTCTTTCTTCCTTCTCCTCATTCCAAGAATTTGGGGGTACCTGCTATACGCCAGACTCTGTTGGTTTCTAAGGATTCCTAAAGACACAACGTAAATAGTAAGGACAGGGTCTGGTCTCTATGGCATTTCCAGTCTTAGCTGCTGCCAACCAATCTTGGATGAGCTACCTAACTGCTCTAAACTTCACTTCCTCTGTCAGTGAAATGAGGTGGATTCATGAGTGTGGGTATCTTTCTAGCTCTGATATACTGCATTGGTGGAAAGGGTTCAGTGTTTTAAGTGCAGGTAGGAAGTGTGGAATCTTTTTAGTATTTGCTTTGGGCCCAAATAGGCCCAAAGGCTTAGTGTACTATTTTACTTCAAACATTTAAATTATATCTAATAAGTTTTCTGCCTCTCACGCAGAGCCAAGACCACCCATTTACTGAGCAGACAAATGTCACCTTCTCAAAATGCACAGCCCTACCTCCTGGGGGATCATGTGATTCCTTAGAAAGGCTGTTTCTCTGGGCCAGGTCACTTGGGAGGGCGGCGTTTTATCTTGTCTGAATCTGATGTTGCTGCTTCGTGGTGAGCCGGGTGGTCTGAAGGGCTTGTTGCTTTCTGAAGGACACAGCTTGCAACCTGACCCCTCCATTCAAGTGACTCCACAGCTTTTGTGTAACCAGGTGAGAGGCTCAAACAGAGGCCTTTGAGGGCTTGGGAAACACAAAAAGCTAACAAAAAACTCACCCCCTAATGAAAACTTGTCTGCACTGCATTTTGTCTGTGAAGTAGCTTCTCTTACTGCCGAGATGGGACCCTGTTTCAGAGGGCTCTAAAAGTTGGGTATCCAGAGAAGAAAGATCTGTGTGCTTTTCTGACAAATGCAGCCTCAAGCTGCCTGAAAGTGCTGTGTTTGGGTGCAAAACTATTGATCAGAGGACAAGGAAGGGATCTTACAAAGTCAGGATTTTTTTCCCCCTGTGCTGGGGATTGCATCTAGAATCTTATGTAGGATAGGCAAGTGCTCTACTACACAGCCACGCCACCAGCCCTAGGTGAATATTTTAAGTTGATATTTTAAATTGGATGTTCCTCACCCCACATTGTTAAGTTTTTACAGGAGAAGATAAATATAATCTTTGTTTTCATCCTTCCCTATTTTTATGGAAATGTGTATTAAAAGATGATGCTCAAAATACTCTTGGTGTATCACCCAAAAGCTGCTACCTGTCACTTTTCACCCTCAACTTCATTCTTGCAGCTTTCCTATCTGGCTTCATAGAGACGGGCTGATAAGTACTCCCAGGCTCTGCACAGAGGCCTTCCACCGGGTGTTCTAACTCCCTGGGACCCCTCTCTGCGTTCCATCACGTTATCAGCTGCTCAGTGCTTACAAACACTCCCTGCATGCCTCTCTTAAAATAAATGAGCTGCATCTTTGTCTCTTGAGCTTGAGCTCTATGGCATGGTATCTTCATTCCAAGGCCTCAATGTTTCATTAGCAAAAAAAAATTCTGTTTTTTTAAATTGTAGAGCAAAACCATTATAAGGTTTGGAATATTTCAGAAAGAATAGAGGTCTCTAGATGAGGACACATCCAAATACTTTAAAGTTTGGGGGCATTCACTGCCAAGTCCCTCTCATAACCAAAATTTGTCCTCCCTACTTAAAAGCAATCCTACTTCTTAGAAAGACAACATAGTCACAACAAAGCAGCAATACTTTAATTCTGTTTTGTGTAAACTTTCTCCTCTGTAACATGGTAGGAAGTTTCCTCCTCTTTCTCCTCT